ATTATGAGATAGTGCCCAATTCATTAAATACCCTAAGACACAAAATATTAATCCTTGCTCTAATTATAAATACCCATTAAGTCATAGGTGTAATATAGAAGGAATATATTTATGGTACTGAAATATACATGGTATATATATATATATATATGAATTATATATATGAATTAAGATACCTTGTGACTGAGGATCTTTTGCTTTTCAGAATATTTCAGGTTTTCAGACTGAAGCCAAACTTGTTGGACTGGAACCCATCAGCACCTACTCTATTAGTCTGTCCGCATTTACCAAAGTTGGAAATGGCAATCAATTCAGTAATATAGTGACATTTACAACCCGAGAGGCAGGTTAGATACAATTTCTGAACCTGAAATGTTTCTTCTCATGTTTAACACTTTTACTTTCCTCCTCTGTGTATTAAAGTGCGATTTATTACTTTCTCAAAGGGAAATTGCATTCCAGTACTTAAACTTAGGCTGGGTCTTACCTAGAATCATATGTGGGTTGATACACACATATTTAAGCACTTTTTCCTTTAGAAGAGAGAAAGCAAAAAAAAAAAAAAAAAAAGACTAGTTTTGTAACAAGGTAGGATTCTAGACATCTGTGAAAATGACCTAATTCTTAGGATTACCTGTGGGGCTTGGAAAAAAGGAGGAAGTGAACTAGAAGTCACTTCTAACATGATGAATTATGTTTTCATGAATCAAAAAAATAATTTTTCTTCAGGAAGGTGAGCTTTTAGATTCGAAGAGCAGGACTCACTGAATAAGTGCTCTGCTTCAAACAGTGTCTTGTAGCATAAGGGACTATAACATGTCAGTGGCCTGGTTCCCCAGTCACTGACCAACTGTAGCAGATCTCTATAGGCCACATCTTGCCTTTGTATGGGTACTGAATAGTTTTCCTATTCACTTACTTAATGTTGGTTCAAACACCCACTTTTCCTTTTCATAACTAGGTCGTGTATGTAAAGACACCCATCTTCTTCTTTTTAACAATGATTATTGAATGATTAAAATTACTTCTCTAGTCAACTCTCAGTAACTTTGAATGCTTGCCTTTTATTAATGAATCTCTACATTGAGATTGGAGGCCACTGATGCTGAATTAATAATTTTCCCATTCATTTATGAACACGAGATTTTTTTTTCTGGTTTCATGCCTATAAGCAAGTCCAACCCATAGTACTCAGAGTGGATAAAAAGCTGAAGCTATATAGTCTGTGTCTGGATTTGAATCTAAGCTCCACAACTTGCTGATTGTACAACCTTGGCCAAGGCTCATAAGCCTCTAAGCCCCAATATCTTTATCTGAAGAGAAACTCACATGAGCCCTAAACATCTCATGAGGCTGTGTGATCCAAAATATTTGGAAAGATCCAAGTAAATTATAATTTATTAGAGTGATTGATATATAATAAATGCTGTGAAAACATTACATACTCCCTTGCTATAGATGAAGAAACCACAATCCAGCCAGAACAGGAAGAAAGAGCTTCTAAAACTTAGTGAGGAACTAGACCATCACCCTGTGGCTGCTAAGAGAGGGATGATTTCAGGAAGTGTACAGCATCTTGAGTGAAAATATCCAACAATTTTCAACCTGTAAAACATTTAACAATATTTACAAATGATAAATAAAAATTTAAGTATGTTATTGGGCTAAGATGGCTCAGGGAACAGAATACCTGAGTTTGAATGCCAGTACCTACATGGCAGCTAACAAACATCTATAACTCCAGTTCCAGGGGACCCGATGACATCTTCTGTCCTCTATGTGCATGGCACAACATGGGTGCACTTACATACATGCTAGCAGAACACTCATACTCATAAAATAAGACTAAAAATAACTTAAAAGTATATTTATCAATAATCAATATCAAACAGTTAAAAATGTTTACCAATTATGTCACAAATGTAATGCTCTGATTGGTAAAATATTATAAACTTTTTCTGTTTTCTCATTGGTTTATTATCTATTTGGGGTTCATAAAGTCAGTGAACTAGTCACAAAATTCAAGTTTATAAACTAATCAACTAATCCTAAGCAACTGTCAACTGTCTTAATGTCTTAAGTTTTTTTGTGTGTGTTGGTCTTTTTGAGACAGGGTCTCCCTGTAGCCCCAGCTGGCCTGGAACTCGCTATATAGACCAGGCTGGCCTCGAACTCAGAGATCTGTCTGCCTCTGCCTCCCAAGTGTTGGGATTAAAGGCGTGCATCACCATGGCTGGCTGTCTTAGGTTCTTTTATGAAAAAATTTACATTTTGTTAAAATAAGGAAGTGAACACAGTTTGTAATATTTAATTGTCAGAGATTTGATCATCCTAAAAATGATCTTTTCTTTGATTTTATATGCCAAATATTCCTTAGTATTCTCTCTCTATACTGATGTCTTCATCTCAGAGAAAGAAAAGTTTGTAAGAGATAAATTAAGACCTAGAGAACAAATGTTGAGATGTGACAGATTACTTGGACCTTCTTTAACTCATGTTACATAATAGCAATAGCTTTTTGTGTCACCGTGTACAGTTCAGAGAGTATGAATTGACTATATGACATTTTTCCATGATTATTTACTATAACAATAAAAGTTATGCTATTAATACTAACAATAGAGGATATTACTGGATATTTCCAGGGAAAGTAATGTCTCTAATGTGCGATCACTTTCATGGACTGGGGTATAACTCCTCCTTCAGGTCAAATAGATAGAGTGGAGCCCTGAGAAAATAAGTTATTTTCAAGTAAATTGAGAGACGTTGTAGTGGAAAAAAACTGGTACTCCTTAAACAATCCCCCAATGACTTCTAAAATAGTCAATTTTCTTCCAAAGAACCCTAATAAAAAGCCCCTAAGTTGTTTATGGGCTTCCAGTAGTACCAGACCCAGAACAGCCATGTTGGGCAGTTTTGTATAAAAACCAGTAAATATCAAGAAGATTGTACCCTGATTAAGTAAACAGGTCTCAGTGTCTGTCTGGATTGAAGTCACTAATTTTTGGAGGCTGTGGTAATGTGATGGCTGGTTGAGCCTAGGAAGCATTCCATGACATTTCAATGTTCTACTCATTAATAAACACAGGAAAGAAAAAAGGGTCAGCAGCCATTTATGTTAAGAACTTGTTGAACACACATTGGAAGAGTTCATATATTAATTTTTCATTTTTTTCTTTTGTCATAAGTATAATTGTATCTCTTGATTGCATAATTCAATAATTTATTATGCATGAATAAATTTAACTTTAAGCAAATGTTTTTCTCTTAAGTTCCAGATGTTGTACAGAATATACAGTGCTCGGCAAGTAACTGGCAGTCAATATTAGTGATGTGGGATCCACCCAAAAAAGCAAATGGAATAATTACACATTATATGATAACAGTTGATAGGAATTCTACGAAAGTCCCTCCCCAGGATCACATGTATACATTCACAAAACTTCTTGCAAACACATCATATATCTTTGAAGTACGAGCCTCAACGTCAGCTGGTGAAGGCAATGAAAGCACGTGCAGTGTCAACACACTACCGGAAACAGGTAACTAGTGTGGAGCAGGTAGGTAACTAGGGTGGAGCAGGTAACTAGTGAGGAGCAGGTAACTAGTGTGGAGCAAGTAACTAGTGTGGAGCAGGTAACTAGTGTGGAACAGGTAACTAGGGTGGAGCAGGTAACTAGTGTGGAACAGGTAACTAGTGTGGAACAGGTAACTAGTGTGGAGCAGGTAACTAGTGTGGAACAGGTAACTAGGGTAGAGCAGGTAACTAGTGTGGAGCAGGTAACTAGTGTGGAACAGGTAACTAGGGTGGAGCAGGTAACTAGTGTGGAATAGATAACTAGTTGGAACAGGTAACTAGGGTGGAGCAGGTAACTAGTGTGGAACAGGTAACTAGGGTGGAGCAGGTAACTAGTGTGGAGCAGGTAATTAGTGTGGAACAGGTAACTAGAAGAAAGTATCTCCTATCTGGCATTGTTGCTTATTATATAGCTTTTAGCTATAAATATGGACTCTTAAATTATATTGACCCCTTTAATCTTTGGTTATACTTTCCTTTTGGATGTTTAAGGCCATAGAGTTGGCCCTGATAAACCAATTTATTTTTACTCTTGAGGTTGTTTGAGGACCTGTTCATCAGGGGTCACATGGGCTTGGGAGGAGCCCCTGGCTCCTTTCTTTTACAAGTTCCACCTATGTGAAGATAAGTCAAAGGTCCTGCTTGACCATGGTTGGCTTCACTTGGAAGCATGGATGAAACGATTCCTCTTTGTTGACCCCCCTCTTTGTAGACTGGACACTGGTTTAAGTCCATCTGGTGGGGTCTCCTCAGCCTCCTTGATCAAGAGGACAGAAGACTCACCACAGTTTCAGGAAATTTTGAGAGATGCTCATAGTCCCCTGGAACTTAATCGACCTAGAAACTGTCCTTTATGTCCCTCTTACCAAATTAGTATAGGCCTCAAAGTATGTCTGTTAAACATCCAAGAAGGTTAGTTCCACCAGTCTGATACTTTTTATTACTGTGTGCCACATAGATAAATCTTGGGCAAAGACCACTTGTTCTCAGATAAAGCTTACATAGACATATATTTCTTGTTCTGCTATGTATAATTTGTCAGTAAGTTGTAGGAGCAATATGGTTCCCTCTGGTTTTCAAAACTAGCTAGGCATTATTTATCTCTCACATTGTCAGAGTACTTATTTTTAAGAGTACTTATTTTTTTCAGTTTATTATTTATTTAATAACCACATACTTAGAAGAAGCATTTCATTACAACAGCATTGAAATATTCAATAACAATTTTCTGAGCTAAGATGCATCTTTTTCAAAATTGGCTGTAAATTTTTAGGTTTACAGTTGAACTGTTCATTTATACAATATTTTACTCAGTATAAACCCTATAAGATATAAAATTAAGTGAAGTTTTAACCTTTAAAAAAGATCTCCATTTCATTATTAAATACACAGTTTCATACAGAAAAATTCATTTTTAATGCAATTGACGTTAAGATGTTTGCACATGCGTTTCTGATCTCTACATG